AAAACTTTTTGGTACCTATATATAGCAATCTGACAATTGCTAGCTGTACTGGTAACTCACTACTGTTATGGATTACTGAACAACATTTCTTGAAGTTAATCTATGTGATTTATGTATAAAGGAAGATATGAGTACCTCTGAACAGAAGTTATAGTTAGAATGGTTGCTAAAGAATTCTACTCTTGAATTGCTGGCTACAACTGGAATGTTTTATAATGAATTTGAGATTTGGGGGGAAGATATTTTTAAATAAAATATAGCTTAAAATTTGATTTATTCTATTCACCAAGAAAGTAACACTGCTTTAACAGCAACAAATATGATTGTTCTAAATTCAGATCAAAAGATACAGTAACTAAATATTGGGATCATTATTAATTTTATTTCTGTTTTTGTATACTGCCCCCTTTAAAGTTTGAACATCTTTGGGAAACATCTAATGTTTATATTATAAAATATTTCCATTCTAAGGGGATTTTTGAAAAATTCAGTTTACAGAAATTTCATTATTTTTCAAATTTGTATTTCTTGATATTTTTCAGCTCCTTCCAAAGCTCTCGCAGCATCTCAGCTGCAGACCTAATTGGAAATAAATGAGCTCATAGTTATATCTGTTATTGCTTTCATACCTCCGTTAGCTGCCAGAACGTTCTATAAATGGCCACTGATAACCAGTTTAGCGGGCTTGCCTCACTGAGTAGTGCATAAATCACTACTGATTTAACTAAGTAATTTCATCTCTGAATTCAGGATGCCGTGGTACACACACTCACAAACACACACAACCACGCACACAAATTATGTTCTGTGGGATTTAAGACGGGAGTTTAATAACATGCTGATGCAACATGGTTAGTTTTTAAAGTTGGTTTTAGTTTTGTCCTCCATATTATCATTGAGAAGTTTCTGGGTTATTTTTTTTCCGCATCTAAAAATACCAGGATGAAGTAGCGAGGTAAGCGATCTATGGTCAATTTGTTTTAAGTGAAGTGCTTTAAAGAGCGAGTAAATATCCCCTTGTTTTCTAAAATCTATCCTTATCATGGAGTATAACTTTGACTTCACAAGGAGAAAATCTACTTTCTTGAACATTAAGCCAGGAAGTGGTACCACTTCCCCCGAGAGCAGATAACAGTTTTGTCCAGAATAATCAGATAAGATCTTGAAAAGATAAACCCCAAGGTCAGGATGAAAATGACAAGAACTGCATTCTTTCCCATATCGCAGCTGCAACTGTAGCCTGTATCTCTCCCACAGACCCAACAAAAGTATGAATAAGAAAACAGTGAACATAGCCTGAAAATGTAAGCGAAATCACACAGAGCTCCTCTTCCTTGTGATTTATCTTCAGGAAACACATACATAGAAACAAACACAGAAACCTTATCATTTCTATAGGACATTATTTTTGGGGTATGTAGAGTGGCACTGCAGTAAACAAAGAAAAGGAAAAATCCTTTAAGGATCACTCAGAGTACCTAAGAGCTTCATCTGCCTGTTAAGATGGTGCCTTAACACAGACAGAAGGCAACTGAAGTATGAATTTGATAACAAAGGAACAATTAATAAAAAGCTGAAAGCTGTTTTGAACTGGTCTGGCCTTGGTGGCTGTGCACGGGGAGGCTGATATGGGTTGCTGGAGGCCAAGGGAGAGGTCAGGGTGGAGGAAAGTATTCGAATTTTCTTTCAACCTCATCTCTGCTCTCCAGGGCAGTCTCTACCTGTTCTTCTTTGATAAGGATTCTAAGTCCAGGCCCAAGATTCAGGGTACTGTACTCCTTGGGCATAATGTGCTGCTCAGGAAAAGAGCTAATGAGATAGATGGGATTGCCTGTCACCTTTGACGTCTCTCCTTCACCCCATTTCCCTCAGATGTGAGGCTTGGAGATTACAAAAGGGATGTTCTTACTTCCTCGCATGGATTTTGTTCTGAGGTCTGGTGGGTGAAATTCTGACAGGGAACTCACCCAGCCAGCACAGTGGCGGCGAAGGGATGTAGCCCAAGGTAATTCTGTGATACCAGAGCTCGTTCTCAGCCCTGCCCTTAGACTGACCTATAAGGGCTAGCCTTTCCCAAACACTGAGTCAGGTGATATAGGCAATATCGGCAAAAAAACTTAACCTCAAAGCACAGAGGAACACATGAAAAATAGAGCTGCTTCAGGGGAAGGACAGTAAACTGAGCAATAGGTATGCTACAAAAATGAGTAGACTAGGAGTTGAGATAAGAATGAGTAAGATACACAAGGAGGTAATGGAAAACATTCACAAAATGAAACATGAAAAGAAATCAATAAAAAGAGTATAGAGGATATACAGCATGTACTTAACAGATGTAAATAAAAATGTACATAGTTCTTAGGTTCAGGGACATCAGCATACAAGTTATACATACAGCATTAAATAAATAACAAATACAGAAAACAACAGTTGAAATGGATCACAGGAAAGACCCAGGATAAAGATATCATGATTTGGAAAAAAAATCAAAGCACTGCCCCAGAAAACAGAAATGCTTCCAGAGAGCAGATGAAGAGATAGAATAATACGTACAATAACACACACACACATACACACACACACATACACACAGAGCAAAATAACAAGGAAATACAAACAAGATCAAAATCTGGAAAACAAAGGAAGAAAAAACAATAAGCAAACATATTTCAAGAATTAATGAAAACAAATTTTCTAAAATTAAAGAGGAAAGACTTTTGGCACAAATTAAAAACACTCAAATAAGAAAAGGAACAAATACAGAAGAGTATTGTAAACAGACTAAGGAGGCAGGGTGATAAATTCCTTGATAAAATTTGTCTGTTTTTTTGGAAGGATAAAAAAGACCAACACAAAAAAAGGAAAGGGATGATTACTTCAACTGCAAATAAAAATTTATATTGTGATCATTGATTAGGGAAGTAGTAGAGACCAAAGGAGCCAAAATGGTGGGAATATGAAGCCTCTAAAAAAAAGTAGATGATGGAGGTATTCTGAGAGATAAGCTGCATTATTCAGGTGTCATATGGACCTGCAATTGCATTTCTGGCTTTACACTCTCCAGAAAAATCTCATGCACCTTAATAAAAGGTCACAAACAATGGTTTTTACATTAAAAGCATGGTTTGGCCAGGAATTGGAGCAATAAGGGTGCTTTTACTAATGAAGTGGATAGGTAAACAGCAACAGCAAACAGACAAAGAATGCAATAAATCAGTGACAAGATAAGAAGGGATACAAATAATAACACAGTGCCAATGGTGGTGCATGGCTGTAACCCCAGCTACTGGAGAGAATGAGGCAGAAGGACAGTGACCAGCCTGGAAAACTCAGAAAGAGACTCTGTCTCAAAAAGTAAAAATGGCTTGAGATGTAACTCAATGGTAGAGCATACCTGGGTTTGATCCCCAATACTGTAAAAACCAGCAAAGAAAAAGTAGCAATGTAGATGGTCTCTTCTTAAAAATATGTAGTGCTGCATGTAAAAATGTTAGAAAAAGGAAAATTCCTAATACAATAAAACTTACATAAATCAAAAATGCACATAAAAGAAAATTTATATTTCCATAAACAAGACTATATAGAATAAATCATTGTAATAGTGGCTTTTTAAAGTGAAAGAATTGTGGTGGTTGCAAATAAAATAATAAGTGGGTTAAAAAAAATAATAAGTGGGTTAAGTGGGATGGATTAAATAAACAGACAAAGAAGCCTTGTACAATAGTGGGGATTTTAGTCTGTGCTCAAAAATGTGTTGAATATATGAATAACTTTGATATGATTTGAGTATCATATCCCATCTCTCTATAACTGAGTTCCAACTACTCTATTAGTTTGAACCTGTGAAGGCACAATTTTTTATAGGTTAAACAATGGCCAACTATCAGTAACTCTATACAAATATATAAACTCTATAAAAGAAGGAAAAATGGCAACAATTAATAGTACTTGGGGGGATATAAATAGCTAGTATAAGGAACTGCAGGAGACAACAGGAAAGAAACCTAATCAGATTTCATTTTTTCAAGATTATTTGAAAACCATAGATATTGATAGGATTAAGACAGGATGATTGATTTTAAGATAAAAGAATCAATTTTAAGAACATAAATCATCAATACCATCCCTAAAATGCCAGCTGTCTGCTTTATTAGTCTATTTACAATCAAGTACATCAGTTATCATGCTGAAGTGTTTTTAATCGACAAAGTTGAAATGGCTCATTTACATTTTTCATCATTGTAATATTTTACAGAACTAAAAATGCAATTCACATAAGGTAAATTCTGGAAAAGAAATTAAATTCAGTCACTTTGAGATCTCTTAGAACTAGGAGGCATTTGTGCCTTTTTTGAATTTTTTTCTTATGTCCTCCTCCCTATGCTGAACAATTATTTCATAAAATCAAATATTCCTTACCAAATATAACTTCACAAGACTTAATTTTAAGCTCAGTTAACCTGAGCTACCTCTTCTAACTAACCTTTGGGGGCTACTGTTTAAGCTCTTCCCTGAAAGGTCCTCATTACCCTTCGTGCCATTGCTCATTATGTCAGGCACACTGCAGAGCTTTGCTTTTCACTCAGCAAACATTCCACATGGACTGATGTAACGAAATATATATGCTATTTTCAAAGGGTGAAGCAAAAAGCATAACGACAAAATTATATTTTCATCTGTGGCATTGACTATATGTTTCTTGTGTAGCTGGAAAGTCAAGAGTACAGCCAAGAACTAGCTCTGTATGGGTCACAGAATTGAACTAAAATGATGAGTTGAGAAAAAAAAAAGATATAGCTTTCATGGTCCTTAGTGAATTAAGCTATTTCCAGTTCATTTTTGAACCTGTACCTATTAAATAAAAATCTCTTCTTGCAGCAATAAAAAGATGCAATCTCTGTTCAAAAGAATTTGAAAACCATAAAGGTCGGATAATGGCAGCCCAACTCACTTTAGTGATTCTATTCTGTGCTAGATAACAGCTTGAACGGAACTTTTACCTTGACAGTGAAGCGTTTTTTCTTTGGCGGAATCCACACTGTGCCAGTTGAATGAATGAATGCGCGCAAAGGTGTTAAGGATGTCACCAACACATACGCTTTTAGAATTACAGATAGACCCTCAGTTCTAAAGATCGTCTCATGTGGAACAAGGACTGTCGTTTGACTCCTGAAAAATACAACACAGTTAGTGCCCCATAATTCGAGGTTGAATATGTAACGTGTAAATTATCTAAAAGGTTTGTAAGTCCCTTTTATCCTTTGCTGGATGGACCCCAGCCTTCAGTGTGAGATTCTTTAAACAATTTCAACTATGTTAGCATCACCACCAGGGGGCGGACAGGTACAAAAAGAGGAGAGAAGCCGGTGTTCCCCACTCTAGATTTAGTCAGGAGTTTGAAAAAGAAAAAAAAAAAATACTTAGAGTAAGGTTTAAAGATTTTTTTTTTTTTTTTTTTTTTTTTTT